TAACTGGGTTCAAAATATACATTGGCCTGGTGATTAAAAGTACTATTTGTTAGCATTAACGAGCAAGGATTCAATAATCCTTTTAGTATTTATCTTTGTCCTTTCATTGATCATGTACCCAAGGAAGTGCTGTTTCACCTCTATTCTCCTGCTGTGGCTATAAAACACAATCACAGGCCATTCTGCAGCTTTCAAGGTATGAAGCATGGTGGTTTTTTTTGTGCTGGAGCTGCAGAAGAGGTTTCTTCATGCCCAGTGATTTCATGAGGTTTGTGAAGGAGAGAAACCCACGGTCATCTCCATCCCAGTGGTTCATTGGGAAAACCTTGATTTGAAAATTGAAAATATATTAAATACTTTAAAGATTCATGAAGCAGCTTTAATTTTGTTTGCATTTTTTTCCTGAAGGGCAAAGCTGTCAGGAATCTCTAAATGCATTTCCTAATCCATTTCCAAACTCGGTAGATTAAGGTCTGCAAGCAAAACTAATTTTGGGAGCTTAGCAGCTATGCAGACAAGAGAGAAGGCAGAAAGAGAGCAGGAAAGATGTTTTTTTTTCCCCAGGTAATGCACTGAACTACCCACATGGCTGTAGTGTCAGTCCTCCACAAAAAAAAACAGTGCAACTCAAATGGACTATAAGCCCAGCTGTGATAAATAGAGGACTTCCAGGTTTCTGCTGGATCAGACACAAATAGAGTAAATACATCTGTCGAGGAATGAAGGTTCAGACAAAGAAAACTCTCTTCCTTTATTCCCTACCAGCTCACAGGGCTGCCATGAGCAGGCTCATGTGCATCTGAGAAGCTTTGGTTTTCTCAGTGCCCCAGTTTCTAACCTTTGACCTTTTTTGTGTGTTGATATTTTTCCCAAGGTTCTGGTCTGCCAGCTGAAGTGCCTTTCCTGTTTTCCTTCATATGCCTGCATAGACAGTGCTTGCAGTTAGGCTCAGGGGGCTGGTTGGGAGATGTTCATTTAAGGAACTGGTTCAATGCAAGGGAAAGAGAGTGAAAATCATCTCCAGGATAGAGAAAAATGATCTGACATCAAGGTCTCACTCGCGAACAAGGGAAATACCTCTGGGTTGCCAGCCAAGATCTTCAGTAGCAAATACAGAGCGAGAGCGCTCAAAGACTCTTCCCAAGACAGCAGCAGGATGCCGCAGGTTTGATGCTTGGCATGTTGCATGAAAGGTGCCTGAAGGGCTGTTTCACATATCAGGTCTTATCCATCCTCAGCTGGTCCTTGGAAATGATTAGCTCTGGCATCATCAGCCTTTGCTGGAATCGGTAATCCTAGATGCGTCCGGTGGTGTGTTTCTCTGCAGCAGACCCATCTGCCTGTAGAGAGAGCATCTGCCTGCTTCTCATGCAGGCCTGAAGTTCTTTGCTGGTTATACACTGTGAGACCTGGTGACAGTTCATAATACTAATGTAGATTCAGAGTAATATTAAATATGAGCTATGCCTGGCCAGCTTAGGCCATCGTTAGTTACCACAGAGGTCAAATGTATGCTCTAAATTCTTCCTGAACTCAGAAGTGTTAGGCAGGTGTTAATGAGGCCAAGTTTCAGCTATCAGTTAATGTAATTGAACTCCCTCCCGGTTGCCACAGCTCATAATGTGATCAGACCTAGTGCAGGGAAGTGGAGAGCCTGGTGGTACCCAGCTCCCTTCCTGGCAGGGTGCTGGGTGTAGTGCTGGTGCCTCTGCCCCCCAAGAAGGTCTGCCTTAAACACCTGGGCACATTTTCATACGGTTTGATGTCTTCAACTCCTGATTACTTTGCTTCTCAAAAGAATGACTAAAACCGACTAGTCTTGTGTTAAGCTCCTCTATCATTAGCTCATTGGTTTCTTGCCTGATGGTCTCCCTCTCTCTTCAGGCTGCTGCACCATCCATTTTCTGAGAGGATGCTCTATGCCTTATTAAGTCAGTAGGCTTATTCTAGCCTTCTTACATTTTTCCTGGAACTTCTCTGGAATGAACTTATTCCTGCTGCCATGCTTCAGGGCCAAGATCAAGGGCTGTGCCACAGAGGACTTAATGTGTCCTCCTGACACTTCTGACTTTCTCAGCCTTACATACAGGCACAGGGACTGAATGTCCCACTGCAGTGCACTTGGTCTGTTGTCATCATCTGCCCAAGCAAAGGTGGTTGTGCTTTGATGGTGAGTTCTTCTTGCGTGTGACTTGCTGATGTCACTGTTTGCCTCAGAGTGTCAGTAGCTGGTTAGAGTTTCTTGGAATGAAGGAAGTATTAACTGTAAATTGCTGCAGCTGGTATCTAATTACAGAATACATTGGGAAGTACTTGGGCAGCAATCCAGCAAAGCACTTAAGCACCCAGTCACTTTTAAGGAAAGGCCCCTTGACTGGGGTTGCTCGTGCTCTCAGACATCATCAGAAGTGTTTGATAGTGGACCAGTACTTTCTCCTGACTACTTCAGCACATCCATCTCATTTTCTGAAGTGACTTGAGGAGCTGGGAGTTCAAGGTTGACTGGAAGTCTGCAGGAAATAAACTCCTAAATCACTGCTGTACTTTGAAACGTGTGCTCAGCCGGGCGACTGCTTTTGCTGCTCTTCATCCTTGCTGTGATAAATAAAAATATGACAGCTTTTAAACCCCTGCTAAATCCTGAGGTTGGCCTTTGCCCATTTAGGTGTTCCTCTTGCAGCGGAGTTACCCAAGGTATTCTAATATGTAATGAAGTGCTCTTACCAAATGCAGACAGAATGCAGTTTTTCAACTATGTCTTGCTAACAGGGAAAGGGGACAACTGACAGAAGGGAGGTTGCAATGAGAAGTGATAGGAATGTCTTAACCTAGGTGGGATAACAAATTCAAAACGGCCTTTTATCTAAAGCCTAACTACAATCATTGTAAGTCAGCATTGAGAACCAAGGCTTGGGAAGTCTTGTGAACCAGTGAGAACATGGAGTCAGGATAATAATGCATTTTTTTAGTGTGACGAAGAAGAAGTAAATCAAAAGTGGAGGTTCTGGTTTAGGTCTGCTGGTTTTAAAGTTTGAGTTAGAAATCTCAGAACCTAAGTGGGAGGGTGGAGGAAAAGCCTTGGATATCAGTTCCACTCAACCTTTCTGTCTGGACAGGAGCAAGTGGCTGGGTGCACAGGTCTTTCAGTTCACTCACCAATAAAACAAATACCTCTTACTCCATAAGAGTTCAGCAAAAGTTTGCAGTCAGAAGATAAAGGAAGCACAGCCTAATCCACTGAGTCCTGTACTATTTCAGTGCTTCCCTGTCTGTTCCTAGGCAGAATACTTTGGTCCTTCCCCAGATGCCTCTGACATTTGTGTTCATCCTGTGTTTTCTTTGATTGCTTGTTCCTCCACATTGCAGCTGCTGCTTCGACTGCACTCTCATTCTTGCTGTACTTCCTCCTCCTCTGCCTTGCTGTTTCCAGACTTTGGCTGCATGGTTGCTTAGGTTTCCTTGTGTTGTGCTAGCTCTGAGTGCTGATGCAGGACATGACCTGGGGTGGGATCCCTCCTCTGCCTCACTTCAAGCAATTCACCCACTCCTTGGGTACCAGTCTGATTTACTGATAGGCAATTTGCTGTGTCCTGCTGATACAAGTGAAGCTCTGAAGCAAATTGCTATCAGATCAAAGACGCCCCTCATCAAGGGAAACCTTGCAAGGTCCATGTTTCTAACCGATGGCTCTTTCCTGCTAGTGACATATTTCTGATGGACTTCTTTGATGTGTTGGTGTGGTCAAGAGGAAAATCGCATTCAAAAAGGAGGTGGTGACAGAGCATTCACCTCCTGGAAATCTCTGTCCTTGTTCCAGGTTTATTTTTAGACTGTAAAAGAATGCTGCTTACCCAGAAGTTCTACACAGTGGTCCTCTGTATGGTACTGGCCCCCAGCAAGTAGCTGGGGTAACACTGAGTGACAGGTACTTGAGTCTCTGAGCAAATAGAGTTGGGCTGAATAGGAATTATGGATAATTGCTAGAATTCATAACTGATTTCCAGAGGTTACCCACCAGTCAAGCATTTGTCACCTTCCTCATGCCCCTGACTGCCAACAGTGGGGGGGAAAGGGATTGTTATGCCAAAGTAATGAGAAAGAGGTCAGAAAGTTTGATAAGAGCAGGAAAAGTCATTTCCTGTGATAGCATTAGCAGTGTTTCAGAGAGCAGGTTCAGTAATTGCTATGGTAATTCTGGATGGATTTTGACTGTGAGAACACGTTTTTAAAGTTAGTATCTTAGCTAGTGGGAGAGAATTCTATTAAATAAGGCAGTGTGGTGTTACGGGGGAAATGGGCTGGGGGCTTGGGAGCAGAGGCTCTGCTCTGTGCTGTGTAACTTCTCCAGGCCTCCATTTTTCTACTCATAATAGTGTATTGCAACATGTATGCATCAGTGAGCAAGTGCAAAAACAAATTGTGACTCTGGGGATGTAGGTACCTACCAGGGTGACATCTCAGATGGAGCAGATCTGCTTTGCAAATATTGGGGCAAGTGTGTGTCTGTACAACAAACATCCTGCCTTTGTTCTGCTGCACAAACTGCAGAATGGGAAAGGTGGCGAGTGCTCTTTGTGTGGGCAAATGCAAAAGTTGCTTGAGCAGGTCCTGGTTTTAAAAGCATGAGCTCTAATTATGAGTTAAGAGCAGACCTTCTGATGGTGCTCCTGGGAGCACAGGTAGGCTGTGGTGGTGTGGGCTTGCTCCAGATTGTTTCCTAGCAAACTCGCTGGTATTCCTTTGGTTTCCAAGAGATGCTTTTAACCTTCCAGAGAATGAGAGCTGCTGCAAGTCTGTGTGCATGCAGACACTTTGATTTTCACTGAGGCTGCTGCTTCTAGCTATGTTGCTTCTATTGAGCTTTAGTACATCCATCTTTAGGGTTAGAAGGAACAAAGCCAGCAAGTCCCTAAATGCTGGACAGTGATGAGGAGAAGACACTCTTCAGTCTGTTTTACCTCCCAGTGGCTGCTTGGTTAACACTTCTTTCTTCTCCCCAGATGCAAACAAATGACCTACCTAAACGACCTGCCCCAGATCTCTGTGGTCTTTATATTTGTAAATGAGGCCCTGTCTGTCATCTTGCGCTCTGTGCACAGCGTTGTGAATCACACGCCATCACACTTGCTCAAGGAGATCATTCTGGTGGATGACAACAGTGATAATGGTGAGCACAAGCAACTTCTTCTGTAAATACTGTGTGGTTAATGAGATCCAAATGGAGTTTGGTCACTACTTGCTGAAATGCCTTTCCTTCTTTAATGTTGGGGTGCAGCAGCATTGAGTCATTCTGCATTTAAACAGCCAGCGGAGGAAGGTCATACATGCAACACTGATTTATGGCTAACAAGCGAGCTCACAAGATGGTGTAAATTAACATACCTCTTATTGAAGTCAGTAGAATTTACAAGAGTTTGTTGATGAGAAGGTTGATTGAGCCATTTACACAAAGTTGTGAGTAAATACGAACTATTTGTATAACAAGTAATCATGATGTGGATAAACCCTGCTGATTTCATTGGAATCTTCACAGGATGAATGGCATTTGTATGGGGAATCTTCATCTAGAAATGACACTTCCATTTTCAGATCCAGAGGAATATCATCAGTAATAGAGTAAAAGTTGAAATTCTGCTTCCAAGGAAAAGTGCAGCAACAGATTCTTCAATTTTGAGCTAGGGAGTAAATTAAGACTATGAGAATGAAACAGAATGGGCACAAAGTACATGCCCACTTCAGGCTATCTCAGTCATTAATGTGAAAACAGGGCTTCTGTCACAGCACCCAAAAATCAAAATATTGGGGAGCATAAGGGTGCTGATCAACTCATTTCACAGGTCGGGAAGGTTTGAAGAACTTTCAGGATACAGTGACTAGCAGTGTTGTTGTGATTAACTTGTTATACCTTACGCTTCTGCAACTGATGTGTCTTCTCAAATCATATGTATTAAAATAAGGCTCAAGTTTAGCAATTCCTCCACAGATGAACAGCTTTAAATCATTCAGTTTGAAGTTGCCATTTCTCTTCCAGATCCCCAAAGAGAAAGGAGGGTTGAGAGAACAAATCACTAAAAACAAGTGCCAAACAAAAATAAAATCCCAAACCTACAGGTTTAAGAATTTTTTTGTCCAGTTCTGCTTTCGGTTACAGCAGTGTAACCTATGGAGTAATTATGTGAGATTGCAAAGTGTTTGAGTCAGTCTGATACAGAGGAGAATTGGACACACTGCTTCTCAGTGAACTCTTATATGGCTTTTCTCTGTCATTCTTCTAGATAGCTGGAGATTTATGAAGTCTTTGATTTCACTGATAATGATTCTACTGTGTAATATAGATCAGAAGAATGAGGTTTCTAATGTCCTGGAAGCTTCTACTAGTTTTCCTAATAAATATATTTGAGTAAAAGCCTCATTATGAATAAGCTGCTGTGTAAATGAATTACCAAACTAGATTGATTTAAAAAAATAGAGCATTTTGGTAATTCGCCCATTCATAAGCCTGTTGAAATTAAGCTGAATAAAGGAGTGAATGAGTTCTGCTCCATCTGTGGTTGAATGCCTGAAAATGAACAAAAGAGAAGTCTATTTGAAATCTTCAATATCCATTTAGCTCAATGCGGAAGATGCCTAGTATTGAGGAGTCTTAATTATATTTAAGGGTAAACCTTTAAAATGAAGGCAGATTAATTGTGAGCTGAATTAGGTCTTGACCCAAAATCCATTGAGGTTATTTTTCAAACTCTTAATGAATAGCATAAATCAGAAAAGCAAACCACCAGACCGTAAAAAATTGCAGACTGTTACAGTGCCATAAGGTCAGAATTGCTCTTCCAGAGGCCAGTTGTACCCTAATGCAGATAATCAGAGAGTTAAAATAGTGATCCTTGAATGATATTTATACAAAATACCCCTTCAAAACAATACTCAAATCTATGAGATTAAACCTGTGCAGGTCTCTCTGAGCTGAGCCCCCTGGCACTAGTCCATGCCATAGCTGTGGTACTTGGTTTGCATCGGTGAGACTAAGTGCTTAGGAATAGTTCAGGATGTCTTTCCCTTTCGGCTGCAGAATAAATGAAAGTAAAACATAATGTTTCAGGGCTTTTCTCATTCTGAATATTTATTTGGGCTTTTTTGTCTTGCAGTTGAGCTAAAATTTAATCTGGACCAGTATGTCAATAAAAGATACCCAGGGCTGGTGAAAATAGTGCGCAATAACAAACGAGAAGGGCTGATTCGAGCCAGAATCCAAGGCTGGAAAGCAGCAACATCTCCTGTTGTTGGGTTCTTTGATGCTCACGTTGAGTTCAACATTGGCTGGTAAGTTGTTGGCTGTTCCCACAGGGAGAGCATTACTGTTGCACCATGCTCTTTATCTCAAAGGCTGTGAAAGAGATTTGCTCAGCAACAGGAAAGCTGAATAACTGTAGGGATGAGGCTGTAGGCTGCTGTTATCACATTAGCAATTACTTCTGAATAATGATCTTGATTATTGCAGCATTTCTGACAATCTTTTGCAGTGGCTGCAAGATCCATAGGGAGGCTGTTGTGCCTGCTCTGGTACAGCTCAGTGGAGAGAGAAGTAGTATAAACTGCAGTGAGTCCAAAACCTCCAAAGCAGTCAAATGGGGAGACACCATTAAAGAGGCTCTGGGCTGGTGGCAGATGCATGCTTGCAAGTTACTGTTTTTTTTTTTTTAATCTCTTGTCATTTTCTACAATTCCTTCTTAGAAACTTGAATACCAGTCTGATTTCCTCATAAGTTTTCTTTGCATTTCATTTGAGGGAAACATTGAATTATTTCCTGCATTTTTAATGGGGCTTGAAATGAGCACGCCTTTCCTCATCCCCTTTGTTTCTCAAGGGAGCAGTATCAGCTGCGCCAAGTGCAGTTTTGGGCTTAATGGGCCAGATCTGCAGTTGGAGTAAATCTTTGTAGCACCACTTAGTGGCCGATGTTTGGCATTACTGGAAGTCGGGACTGGAGCAACTGGTGTGCATTGTCAGCTGGAAAAGGGCTGCTGGGACCTTCAGTGTGTAAAATGTGTATTTTCCAAAGATAGACTTGTCTTTGATGCTGATGATGCAGGGTTATGGTGGAGCTGATTATGCTCTGCAGTTCTGGGAGATATCCCCAAATTAAAACTAAAAATAGCTGTACTTACAACCAGAGATAAACTTAATTGCAGAGGAGGAGAGTGTTTATTTTTGTATTTTCATGAATATCTTGATAAAATGGAAGATGCAATAAAATAAGTCTTGTAGCGCAGCTGGTTTATGTTCACCGTGAGTTTTTTCCCCCAGGACTATGAAAGTCCATAATAGCAGTTGTAGTAATTTTCTGGAAGCTTAAGAGCTGGTTTAATTTATTTATTTACTTTTAAAGCTAGATATTTCAGATCACTGCAACTGTTCATGCAGTGTAACATCAGCTATTGGACAGGATCAGGGAGGGGGGGAGTGTGCTGAGGGTGCTGTTCCAGTGCTTCTCCTGCCCAAGCTAAGGTTTTCTGACCCTTGCAGAGGATTTTATTACCACTTCTGTACAGACATGGAGATCTTACTGATGTAATCTGCCCAGAGAAGCTAGGCAGTGGTGTCAGTAAGGATGAAAGGGGGTTTATTGTGGCTATTAAGTCTCATCTTGCATTAATATTTCCCCTGTTCTCAATGTATATTCATGTCTTCAGAGGCCACATGGATTGCTCCCACTCAAAGCTGTCTATGGGTTATTTGTGAGGCAATTAAAAAGAAGCCAATTCCTTTACCACAGAACAGAGCATTAGCTTTCTGTTTGGTTTGTGTTCCATCTAAAATTCAAGTACCAGCAGTGCAATTTCAGTCTTCCAATCTATGGCTGCTTTACCTGCCTAAGCAGTTGGCAGATTAATTCATAAAGAATCATCGAAGAACTTAATCACTTTCTCATGAAATATGCAGGACACTGACATCAAAAAACCCTCTTCTTTAAATAATAGTTGCCCCATTTGTGAGTGACCCTTTGCCTTTCACTGCTTTATAGCGTTTTATGGGCTTTCACAGCATTACTCTCTAGGGACACTTCTTGTAAACTAAAATACAATCTGGTAGATTATAAAGAAATACTCCACAACCTGGCAGGTCAAATTAACTATTGAATTATTTATTTTGCTGTGCTTAATTGCTGCTTTTTTGCCTCTCAGGTGTTGAAATGTAGCGCAGAGCAGAGATTTTCTACTGACCTGTTCACCTTAAGGCTTCTGATAACATGAACCAATACTGCTGCTGTGAGAGCAGAAGTGGAGAGGACTGAGAGGCCAGTACTATGGATTCTCAAATGGAATTTTAAGTTAAAATTACATGATAATGTATGAGTACAGTTCACATGTAAAATTCTACCTGCCCTGCAGTAGAACCATGTCTGGTTTTAACTGTACTTAATGTCAGGAGGAGTTAGCAACCCAGCAGAGCCAATAGGTATGAAAAGCTCCTGTGCATTCCCCTCTGGGGGTATATTTAAGCTTGTTAATTCAGTTTTCCCTTCGGTCTTCTGAAGATTTCAGTGTTCCTGCTCTTACTTTTGTATTAGGTCCACCCACTGTGCTTTAAGCAACACACAGTAACACTGCGTACAGACCGTTGCCTCCCGGCTGCTAATTGTGTTGCAGAAGATGTAGAGCATTATATAGACTCCTGTCTTTGAGAGATGGGAAAGAATAACTTGACAAGGGGAAGAGAACTTCACTACATTATATCTGGGAGCAGGAAAGAGAGATAGCAGAGATGGGGTGTTATATCTCTGAGTAAGGAAAAGGACACATTTAGTGGAGGAGAGCAGAAATCAGTAAGAGAAAGACAGAGACCACAGTATATTAGCAGCCATAAAGAGGGTACTAGGAGCCATAAAGAAGACATAATGATAGAGTATTATACTTGCATTCTATCTTAGGAATTGCTTTTGCTCCTATCACAGTGGTAGTATCAGAACACTGAGTGGAGTTATGCAGTACCATAGTAATTAAAATTTTGCCAGACAAAGGGGGAGTATCAGTAAGGAAGCAGTGGAGTAAGAGGATTTAATCGTAAGATTTCAATAGACCAGAGAGACAGAGACAGCCCGACATGAGAAAGGGGACCTGAAATACTGAGTATCCATCAGATTGTGCCACACACATCCCATCGTTATGCATTATCCCTGAAGTTGGCAGTGCTTTATAAATATAGAAAACTGGTATTTTAATGAACTAAGAAGAGCTAAAGATCAAGATCCCCAGGTCTGTAGATAGTACTTTGCAGCTCTTATTTTATACTGCAGTATGTGGTGCCATTTGCTGTTGTGGCTGTTAGCAACGGATTCTCAAGAAGATGTGTTAAAGGAAAAAGGAAGTTGATTTCCTCCTATTCTTCTACTGACTTTGATTATCCCAAGTACCCTGTAACACAGACATGGTTATGGGAAAGCTCCTCGTTAATGTTTTCCTGTTAACAAGCCAATCTCTGCAAGCAGCAAACTCCACACATCCCTGTTCAAGCTCAGGTGGCTCTTTGGATGGTTCTCTCCTTCTAGTGAGAGAAGTGCTCAAGTGAAATTACGTTTGCACTCCTTCTCCTGTGCAGTCTCTCCCCCTGGAGGGTTCAGCCTATCCCTCCTGCTCAGGACATGGCTCATTGCAGCATGCCAGGAACCATGGTAAGTTTGACCTGGAAGTTTTACTTATGCAAATGCAAAGAAAAGTACATGTGTTTATTGAGGGAGTTTTTTCTCGTGAAAAGCCTCTACCATCACTTAGGATCAATCCACTTGGTAATTTAATGCAATACACGTTTTAGATACAAAAAGTGAGCTAATATTATCTGAGTGGAGAGAGAAGTGTGCAACATAAGCCATGTGCGCCTTTCAGCTTCGTGGGACGGTGCCAGCATACATACAAGAGGACATGCCAGAAAAGCAACTTTGACTATTCATCTACCTAAACAACCTAGAGTGTTCACTGAAGCGTCCTCATTGCTTTTCAGTGGTGCAGAAAAGAGCTATTCAGATTTGGCAGCCTAAGAGCTGATCTTTAACTCTCCAGCAGGCGTTCATGCTGCATTCTCTCCATTCTGGCTGGGGCTGCAGGTCTGAAACCTCCCCTGGAAAACAGGAATGCTGATAGAGATGTCAGGTAGAACAGATGGGAATTTCTCTCTCCTCTTAGAGACCAAGAAAGGGAGTATGAAATTTAGGGCTTTTTTTTTCAGTTCTTGGAACACTTATTTACAGGAAAAGCATCCTGCATTAAATACTCCTCCATTGGCCTCAGTGAAGAATTATGAATGTCAGTAGATCTGCTTGTCTGCGTCTGATGAATGTGTATCATCAGTGAAATGTGAGGTAGTGTGTAAAAACACATGCAGGATAAGCTCTCAGATTACACAGGTTTTATTCTTACATTTCTGTGTTAAGTTTTTACTTTGTGGTACCTGACAGTGGTACAGCCAGAGTAAAATGCAGTGTTAAACCCACTGAGCCATAAAATCTAGAAGGTGAGGCCATGTTGTCTTTCATATACATCTTATGAGGACTCTTCCTTAAGTCTTTGCAAGGGAAAAAAAAAAAAATATCTGATTTGTGAAATGGAGGAAAAAAATTGTTTTTTAATATTATGTCTTCATTTTTTATTGAAGTAAAAATTTTAATAGTGATGGTGAAGAGGAAGAAAAGATTTATCTCAAAAGAACCCACAAGTCAGGGTATTTGGGTACCCGCCTGGACAGGGCAGAATTTGAGAGAGACACTTTCCAATGCAGCTCCTGTCAGTTAGGAAATTTGTACTTTTGAACAAATTCAGGACAAGTGACATTTGTGTGGGAGGAGGGATAGGAGGTGTTAACAAGCTGTAGGACAGCCATTCTGATTAAGAACTGAAAAGTATTCTGGGTCTGAACCTCAGATGACGCGTGTTAGCAAAGCATCCCTGAAGCCGTGAAGTCCGTTGAAGCAGGAGCATTGGGCAGCAGAGGATCTGGCCTGCAGCACGTGTGTGGTTTCTCTTAGGTCGTGTGTGTTTATTCCTATGTCGTGCTTTTCTAAAAGTCTGCTTGAAGTCAGCAGGTGTTTGTACATAGGGGTGCATTATATAATTATGTGTGTGAGGAGCTTATGTGTAACTTGGATTATCTATTTTTCATCTGGAAGATGCTGTTCTTTTCAGCATTGTGAAGAACCAGAGTTCCTTGTTGGTATGAGCACTCCGACTGCCTGATAAGGATGTAAGACAACAGACAATTTCTGTTTGCTGTGGTTTCCCGTGGAGTTTGAGCTGCTCTGGGTTGGCCCAGAATTAAATACAGAATGCAT